TGTTTGCGTATCGATTGATCTGAAATTTGTACACAATAAACTAGATTCTATTCTAAAGAGCATGCGCTTTACTACACTTCTTAATACTTATTAAAAACAAAATGGCGGATATTTTAACTTTTTTATAAAAATTAAGGAGGTGGTTTTTACAAATGCAAAAGTTGTGTTATGAAGTTTAAAATTTTTGTTTTTTTTTAATGCATTTTTTGTGTGAAAGTTTCATGTTTAGAGAACAGGTAGTTCTAAAGTTATAACAATATTATCGTGACACCCACGAGCAGGTGCTCGCCTCTAGATGACAAATATTTTTATATAGCACTTGTACAAGTAATTTTGGAAGTAATATTAAGTGAAATGTTGAAATTCATAAATTTATCAGTGTAATATAACTTATTAAAGCTCCTTGTTATAAATTTAATAGACATACATACATACCTGCATATGTATGAATGTTGTGAAAATAGTTATTAGTATTGTTTTACAATATCCGCAATGCTTTAGATAATACATTTTTCGGTGATTTTTCACGAAAATACTTTTCATATTTTAACAAAAACCATATGCATAAAATTTTCAAACTTTTTGCAGAACTTAAAAAAAATGATACAAACTTTCATCAAAATTTTGAATAACAGCTTTTAGAAAAAATTTTGTATGCAGTATTGTAGCTCATTCAATTTCAGCGAAAAAATGCAAGCGACAAGTCGCTTCAAATTACTTTTAATTTTTGAGAATTCGTTTCTCAAGGGTGTTACATATTTTCTTCCATGAACAAAATGTAGTTTTGCATGGAAGAAAACCCTCAACACCATTGAGAAAAAAATATCAAAAATCAACGCAATTTTAACGACGTGAAACTTGCACTTTGTAGCTCTGAAATTGAATGAGCTTCAAAACTACGTACTCAATTTTTTTTCAAAAAATCTAAATCAAAAGTTTGAAAATTTGTAGAATTTTTTAAGTTTTGCAAAAAGTTTGAAAATTTAATTCGTATGGTTTTTGTTATAACATGAACTATATTTTTGTGAATAATTACCGAAAAACAATCGCTGTACGAATAACTATTTTGAATATGAATGCAGTTACATGCATACATATGTAGGTTTTTTTTTTTATATAAGGAGAAAGCATCGAAAGCCTGTACCCTGTAGTGTGGAACTTTAATCCGAAATAAAACTCTATGTATGTCCACTGTACCGTATCCCCCCGGTACCACCGTAAAGTATTTCAGTATTTCGGAGGGCGGTTGAGCCTAAGCTCGATCGTATGTTCCTGTTCTGATGCAGGTAGATATGTAAGTATATATGTCTATTAAGTTTATAACAAAGAACTTTAATAAGTTAAATAACACTGATAAATTTATGAATTTCAGCATTTCACTTAATATTACTTCCAAAATTATTTGCGCAAGTGCTACGTAAAAATATTTGTTATCTAGAGGCGAGCCTACCAATATTTTTCAGAAAGAACGTAAAAAGATTTTAATGAACGCAGTGTATATGTATGTACATATTTTGCCATCGAGCACACCTAAAATAAATATGAAAAGTTAACTCTGACCATGACCAATTTAAAAGTGAATATCAGCTGTTTATGGAAATATTTTTCGTTTGCAATACTTTGAGTAGTAGACTGCCAAATGAATGGGTTGCAAATTTCAAGCATTTCAAAACTAATTTCAATCAAACAATTTTGCAGTACAGAGTAATTGTTTTTTTTTTTTATGTAGAATAAAGGCATCCGTGTTCGAATCAAATTCGAATCGAAATTTCTTTTTGGATTACGGCATTTGGTGGCGAGTTCGCCTTTTCAGCTTAAAATATATTTAAGACAAACGGCTGTAATTTTATTTCATTCGATTCGAATCGTGTTTCATTCGATCACGTATGCCATGATTCGGGCCCAGTTTTAGTTTTCTCTTCAATGTTTTATTTGCGTAAAATACATTTTTTGTTGTATTATAAAAAAATACAATTTATTCCAAGGTGAATTCATATAAGGTGATACCAGAAGTTCAAAAACAAAACGGCCACTAACAAATTTTACGCGTAATTACAATAAGAATTTCAACAAATACATCATATTGACAATAACAATATCCAAGGCGAAAATCCAGCTACTCTGATAACACTACCTTACCTGAATTCGCCTTCATTTATTCTATATGAGTAAAAACTATCTAATATTTTTTAAAAAATCTACCAACTTCTACCAATTTTTGTATGTAAAATCTACCAATTTTAATTTTTTTT